CTTGCTGTGTATAAATCTTCAGATCGTCCGTGACCTCTGAACCACCAAAGAGCAAGTCTTACGCTGTGCTAATACCCTCTCAGCAAATCTCCAGACGTATTCAGGTCATGGCACACATATGAAAATGTACCTCGGAAAACATTTGAATCCACAATATGCAAACAGGGCAGTGAAATACATGTCCACATCTACTGTTTAAGTTGAATCTTGTCCGTTCTGCATCAGATCCTGTAGACCTGCAGATCACTGTAATCGTATACTACCGTATAGCATCCCAAGGATTCGTGTTTCGTAATGTGGTGGCAAAACTAGGAGCCAACCGTCCACCAGCATAACTACACCCCACCAAGTTGGGTCTCTTTGACAAGATAACCCCTAACACAACTATACGATAACATTCCACACAGCAAAACTCTAAATATATTTTTGATTTCAGTGAATAAATCGCTATTGGCAGAATTAGTTTACACGGATGTATACATGTACATTATTTCAGAAATCTAAACCACTCTTCCTCCATTATCAAGCCAACTCTGAGTTGGCAAACCTGAAACCGCAAGTCGGTGAAACTATAACGGGCAATGAGAATAACATGTCATTCATGTCGGTTCATGCACTAATTAACCATACAAGAACCGGTCAATTTTATAAAATGTTCCCCTTTCTCTCCACTGCGGAGCCATTCCATCGTCAATCCCTGTTCCTCAAACACAGACATGGGGGGTGTAACTTACCATGATTTCTACTTTTCAAGAGTTGGGCTCCAAGTCACTTTGTACATCTCTTTCCTCGTGTGACTACCGGATAACTCAGGCGTGGACGGTATGTCAATGAAACGTTTATCCTTAACAAAAAGCCCTTTCCTCTGTTACGTAAATCCGTCGTGAATAAACAGGCACCCGCTCCCTTGAAGGTAATAAGCCGCTGGGTACAGAGCAGGCACGAGAAACGTTAGGTGCTTGACGGGGATGAGTGGTCACGATAGCCTGGTGACTTACAGATAAAGAGGAACTAGATCCAGCTCATTCAGGAAGCTGGAAGTCACCATGATGTGCAGTTTCATAGTCCGGCCATAGAGCATGGGTTTGTAGCTCTATGGTCCAGCCAAGCCGACAGTATGATCGGCGATAGGTTATACATGTACTGTCAAAGTATCCCGTGAAAGACACGGAACACAGAGCCAAGGGCTTATCCAATCTTGTCTGCTCATTTGTCAACATTTAGGTTGTTTCATCACTTCAAAATGATACCAAATTTCTCGTTGTTTGGTTTGCTTTGTTTCTATTGTTTACATGTACTTGTTGTTATTGACTTGATGTTGTTCTCTGGCCTTTCTGGGGTGGAGCTTGTATATAATGTGCTTTCCAAGCGCCAGCGCACCCTTTTATTTAATAGAGACACTGAGAAGGGATCATCACGACTGATAACCATCACATACAGCAAATCATCAATGAAGATAAAGCGGATAATCCATTCATAATTAACCAGATAATGAGGTTATTGAATTCTTAAAAAGATTTCTCCGCACAAGATCAGTCTGTTTCATTAACTGCCCAATATACCAATCATTATCTCGTTCTCAATGAAACTGTAGCAGGGTTGGTAGGGTTACTCAAACGGCACGGCATGACACTTGTTGGGACCTGTACGGGGTGCATACAAAGAACACACAGAACACCTTCGATAAACAGGTGCTCTACAATCTCGTAGACGGCACGGCCAACACTCATATAATCATCCCAATTTTAATAACGACTATCTGAAATATTCTCTGTACCCAAGAAGAATTCCTGAATGGAATCTTCTGCCTGAGGATGTAAAGATGGCACCTGACCGAACGAGCTTCAATGCTGCTTTAGGCTCAGTTGATATCCCCAACTTACTTACTAATACCCCCTTTAAAATTTAATTCTGCTGCTACCACATGAACCCTACCCAAACTGTATCGGGATAGCCCAGTGGGGCATTGTAAACAGAATAAAGCAGAAATTGAAGCATGTTTTTGAGGGGCATTGAAAGTAAATTAACTGTGGCTTGTTGGATTCATTCCAAAGTTTCAGTGGGGGAAAGGGGTGTTATCACAATGTAATTACATTAATCTACCATATGCACTGACATTCAACAATTTCCAGAATTGTTTTCTTAATTAATGACGCAGCAGGTCGTAATTATGTGTTTGTTTTCTTTTCCACCTGTAAAGATCTTTTCCTATACGGAAATCTTTGGGACTTGCTCGACAATGCGCATCAACACAGCAGCGGTAATGTTTTTTGCTGCATGCTCCGTGATCAACTTCACGCAGCGTACAGAGAGCCACCCTCTTCCCGGGGCGCACCCTCACCACTGTCCCATGAAGTGCCGCTGCGTCACGGTGTCTCGTCGCCTGCTGGCTGCTTCACGTCGTCTTCAGCAGTACGCAGCGATGTTTGACTGGGTGGAAGGGGCCGGAGCAGCCGTATGCTGGGGGAAGAAGGAGGTACCAGTTGACCTGTTGCCGGGTATGTAAATTATGTCGAGGCGTGACCTGGGGCCTTTGGTAATGTTTAGGATCAATTTACAAAGATCCAGTTGTAAGATGTTCTAGAATACATAGTGTAAGAAAATGATGGATTTAAAAAACTTCTTACAGTAACTGATCAGTTGGTACATGTTGCACAGACATTCTAACTGAATGAGCCAGTTTGGAGACCAGACGTATTTACACGCTTATGCATTTGAGGTTTGGGAAACTGATACAAAGGCAGTGCTTGATCCCACGTGACCCCACCTGACCTGTGTGTTGGATATCTGCCAACCCCCATGGGATTCACAAAGTCAGTAAATCAACCAAAAATCGTGTAATGCAATCGGCTTAACCTCACAATGTTGTCGGCTTTAAAGGGCAAAGTGGTCGGATCTAATAGATGTACAGAAAGAAATCATTGTTCTCTACCGGCCAGTCAGACTTAACTAAAGAGGAACTAGTGAAGAACGTTGAAACATACCAGGTTATACAAAACGGTAAACAAGCTATGATAAATCTAATGCGTATAGCGTATTTAAGGTACCGTAATTGAAGAAACCAGGACGATTAACTATGGGTGTTAATCTATGTAATTAAAATGTAATTAGAAATTGAGATCCAAGAATTACTGATTGGGAATTTCCTTCCATAGGTACTAACTGAGCGTAATGAAAACACTGTGTTATGTTTGTGTTTTCATATTTTGACTTTTGGAGCAGGAGATGGTGGGTTCGAGTCCCACTCGCTCTTATCAGTTATTTGTCTTAAAAACGCAACACTGGGAAGTATTAACGCTGCTTTGAACACGAAGAGGCAATGGTAAATTGTATCTCAGGTTCAAAGAAGTACAGTACCCATATTCTGTGTAATAACCCGGCTTTCTGATTGATCCACTAACGATGTTGTGTTCTTGCTGTCACTTTCTCTTCTTTCAGAGGTCAGTTACCTATTGCTGGTTGGTGACGATTCGCGAACCGGCATAATTGATTACGACATGACAGGTTCTGCTGTAACTTCGACCGCGCAACCAGACAGTGATGAGAGAGTAGGACGCATCAAAGACATTCCATTGGGTACATTCGCCGACGGGGTGGGGCTGGTTCATCTGGATTTACGCGGCAATAAGATCGCAGAGCTAGAGCCCGGAAGCCTGATGGGATTGGGGAATCTACAGATACTCTCCTTGAAGGGTAACAGGTTGAGGGCGCTCCCAAAAGACGCGTTTCAAGATGTACAGAATCTGACACAGCTCTTCCTGTCAGACAATCATATCCGATCTGTACAAACAGAAGCCTTCATAAACAACACGCACCTGCTGGAATTGGACATCGGAGACAACTTGCTGGAGGTCATGTCTCCGGGATCGCTGAGAGGTCTGACATATCTCCGGTTCTTGAATCTGTCGCACAATCGCCTGACTCATCTCCCTGAGGATCTGTTAGTGGATCAGCTTGAACTCCAACAACTAATCCTTAACGACAACAAAGTAGAGAGTCTGTCCAAGAACATCTTCGCAAAAAACTCCAATCTGAAACTCCTTTCTCTTAAGAACAACAGGCTGCGACAGTTACCCGAATCCGTGTTCATCTCCCTGACGAACCTGTTGGAACTTGATCTATCTGGAAACAATCTGATTGCCTTGGCTGATTCCATTTTCCCGCTAGTGTCAGCTCTTAAGTTTGTGAACATGTCCCACAATGCCCTGGTTGAACTGAGCAAGGTCACTTTTGAAAACTGCACCCATCTCAGAAAGTTAGTCGCCAGCTCTAACAGGCTGAGTGCAATAACAGACAAGACATTCGGGCAGCTGTCCTCTCTTCAAGAACTCTTCCTGGACAGGAATAACATATCCACGATACTTCCTCATTCTCTGCAGGGTCTGAACAGTCTCAAAATTCTAGATATCACCAACAATGCACTGCAGCGCCTCCAAACTGAGACATTCTACGGACTTGAGGCTCTGACGTCATTGCGACTCGACAACAATAAAATCACAGACATCGAACAAAATGCCTTCAGCGTAAGTGCAGCGCATAGCATGTCCAAACTAACATGGCTCTACCTGAGGGGTAACGACCTCAGAGAATTGTCAGCTGATATGTTTGGCGGAGCTCCATTTGTCAAGATGCTGAATCTGGCAGACAATAAAATTTCCACTATTGATCCCTCCTCTCTCCGACGTCTGAGAAGACTGGTAACACTTTCTTTGCACGGCAACCGGCTCGGGAGCCTGCAAGATAGAGCCTTTTCAGAAGCCACAAACGTTCAGAGCTTGGATTTGAGTGGAAATTCGCTTCATCGGGTAGATGAGGGCGCCTTTCATGGACTAAACTTACTCCTGGAACTCAACATGGCAGACAACGAACTCGACGAGACCACTTCTGATTGGCTGGCAAGTTTGACATCACTCAACCTGCTTAACCTGAATGGAAATCGTTTCTCCCGAGTTCCAGCTACCCTGCTGACCTCTCTACCGGACTTGAGTCACCTCTATCTGAAACGGAACATCCTGGATACTTTTCGGGTTCCCGACCACGACCGTTTCAGGGGACTCTTCCTCTTGAACATTGCAGACAACAATCTTCAGACTATAGAGGGCGGACTGCCAGTTATCTTGGCCCCTGGGAGTTCAGTGGACCTATCGGGCAATCCGTGGATATGCAACTGCGCTTTGGTTGCCGATGTGAGGGAGATGATTTCAGTGAATATCCGTTTTGAAAAAGAGAACGAGACGCTATGCACAGTACCAGGACAAGCCAATGATAGAAAGGTAGGTCAGTTCATCCTCGCTCTACCACTTGCCAAAATAAATCTTAAAACTGAGTCTCGATCAATCTGTTAATTTAGATCACTATCAATAATCAATTATCAGTAACTTCCGTAAGTTATGGTTTAGTTTTGTTAGTTGCTACATTGAGTCTGAAGCAAAATTTTCTTATTCCTGTCAAAGCAGGAGTTGACGAACACAGCGGATGACGACAGTGCCCTCTGTGGTCTAGAAGACTTCCCACCGATCTTTTCAACGCAAAGTGATGGACTGGTCAAGTCTAGTAAGGCTGCACCAAGAAAACCTCCGTGCGAGAATCACCCAGTGTAAGTTTTATTTCTTTTGTCACGGTGACTGCATTCAATAACAGTCATGATCTGACAGTTTTTGAAACGCTGAATACAAGAAGTGTTTGGCAAAACCAAATAGCACCCCAGTATCGAGGTCACAGTAATCCTTGGAGGCTTCGCCGCGTTCGCATTATGACCGGTTCATACTTCGTGCAAAAGCGAAAACGAACGCGAGTTGTGGGGGAGGGGGCGGCAGATCAAATTTTTGCGTTACGAATTCGCAAAGTTCAACACATTTCAGTAATTTTTGGTGACGTCAAATTCGCTTCACTTTTGCATCCGCATAAAGTATAAACTAGCCTAAGGCTGAGTTCGGGCGGCTTGTTCTCGTTTGTTCAAGAACAGCTCGATTTGTTGTTCGAGGGTCGGCCGCTCGAACGCCGGGAACACACAACCGGTTATTATCGCTAGTAGTTATTTGCATTCTTCGAGAGTTAATGTCGACTAACTGGGCGAACTTCTTTTCCATTTGAAAAAAATTCTGTCATGGAAAATTATTACAATGTAATATTAATTTTACAAAACTGTCCTTTGTCTTCGGCTTTGTAAAGCCATATCGATACTTTTTGCGGCTGTTCAAAAATCAAATCTCACGAGTTTTCCCGTGTGTTCGTGTAAAATCCTAACGAGAAGGTGATGTGTGACCCTGTTCCGAGAAAAGTGTTCTTTGGTCATGTTCACGCCGTTCGATCGCGATAACACGAAACCTATGTCAAGAACGGATCGCCCGAACTCGAGAAGCGTACATGGCTCGTGCTGGCTGCAACACGCGTCTACAGCAAGCCAGGTGGATACATGATGTAGGAGTTTCAAGCCAAGGTCTTCTGCTGGAGCCTAAGAGATAATTAACAGCTAATACGGGTGATTCACAGTAATGTGTCCCCAAGAGTTTGCAACGCGTTAGCCCATCATGATGCGTGAAATCTGTCGACCCAGTGCGCGTTGGGAAAGGGTCGACAAATTTCGGGAGTTGTGATTGGCCAACGCGTAGAAAACTCTTGCAGGCGCACTACTGTGAACCACCCATATTGTGGCCGTTTTTCAATACTCGACTTGGGCTCCGTCGGAGGTATCAACTGTTTTTTACTTCCTGACTTTGAGATTGTAAGCGCAAAAGTAAGTCTGATAGTGCCACAAAGCATCAAGTAAGATGCAAAAGAGCCAAACATTACAGTACTTCAATTTAAATTAAACGCTTCAGGCCCACAATCGGAGATTTGATTTCCCACACGGAAACGGAGACGAAGTTGAGTATTGGAAAACGGCCTGTTATATTTAAGATTTCAGTAAGCTGAAATCTTATAAGGGCACTGAGCATGCGTGATCACAGACATTCGTCGCAGTTTCCTGAATTACATACAGCAAAGTAAAATGGCATGTTTGACAGTGTTAGCATGCTGCCGTAATCGTAACTTTCTTCAAGGGGCAGGACTACATTTTTAATGTGCTGCTTCTTTTATTTTTCCCAAAGTGTGTCCAGAGCCGATGGCACGTGGCCGTGGTACGCTGTTGTGTGGAGTACAAATAACGCGACGGCTCTCTGTAATGCTGCCCTCATCGGCGTCGACTGGGCAGTCACAACTCTACGCTGTCTGCAGCAGATACAACGCACACTGTCGAGCAGTATGCCCAATATCTTCAGAGACATTGTCAAGCGAGAAAAAGACAGTCTGCTCATGGCACCACGAGGTCTGGTTATCCGACTCGGTAAGAGTAGGTTCATGGATGAGTTTGAAGCTGACGAACAAGGTTACAGGATCATGAATATGCATATACCGGGAAATGACCACGGAACTGGTTTAGACCGACCTTTATTGCTCCAATTCAGTTCCCTAGCAAGGGTAAATGAGCAGGTCTCCCCCGTGTGCATTGCGAATTATGTGGTCAAAGTTCAAAGGGCAATTAGCTTAGGATGGGGGATGAAACCGAAGGAGACACCACCGGAGGAAGCCCTTCAAAGTTCCCGGATGAAGCTTGAACCCTGTGACCTTTCCAACAACGCTATCGAGGACGTCATGTTATGTGGGGTTAGAGAAAGAGGCAGGCCTATTGACTATTCGATCGATGGAAATATGGGCGGGGCACTGGCGACGAAAAGGGGGCGTAGTGACTGGGCTTTAATTGGCATAGGGAGTCGAATTGAGAAGGGTGTTAATGTGTTTATCGATCTGACTCGTTATGAAGACTGGATTGATGGGAAAACTGCGCAAACAAGGTCACGATAGACCAAAATCATCAATGTTGGTAATTATTGCAAATTATTTCAGAAAGATCAAAGCAAACATCTTAGCTGCAGAATAATTTCTGCAAGTGTTAATCTGCACTGCAAGAAATATGTATGGAAATGCTTTGTGTGTGTGTGTGTATCAGCAAGCCTTCGGCGTTGTTACTACTTGAAATTTCTGTCTATCGCCCTCTATTGAGGAAAATATCGTTCTGCGAATTTCTGTATTGTGAAATAAAATCCACAATTCTCTTTATGTATAGGTTAGCCTTCTTTCTTTTTGGCCTTGTATTTATCAAGTTTAGGTTTTTACCTTAAAGTAGTTGTATCGTGTATGGGATTCTGTGTTAATTTTATACATGTGTTATTTATTTAATATTTAGCAAATGTAGTATATCATTTGATAATCCTTTATTTTTTATCGTAAACCTAGATGTAGTGCAAGGGTAGTACTAAAAAGATGCAGCTTTGATAGAACAGAAAAGAGCAAACAGCAACAGCAGCAGCAACAACACCAGCAGCAGCAACAGAACAGCAACAATACAGCGATAGTTGCTGTTGATAGTAAAACATTGTTTAAACACCCCTCCTTGAGTACTTCGTCAATCATGCATTTTGTCATGCATTCAGCCGTTCTTTCCTTGCACATTCAGGTTTTCAAATAATCCCGCACTCACATTTTTCACCTTTTCAAGCGCTGAGATATTTTCTTGTCAGTTTTCTATTACCTCTCTGCACTATGTTGTAAATACCGTGCACAATGCAGTGCGCTCTTCACCATTATTTAACAGCTCATTTGCTCAGATTTCCCGCCATTACTTTGTTGTGCTTTTCTTATCGCATCGATTGCCCCAACGCGCAGATTATCTGCGCGTATCACATGTCACTTCCCAATGCGCCAACCGGTCCCAACACTTTTTAACTACTACTTACTTAGCGATCTCCCTGAAGAAAGTAGCCAGGATTTCATCCAGCTTCCCGCCAGTTTTTCTCTGTCCAACGAAGTGTAGACAACGTGCAATTCACAGTAATTATCTCTCGCCTAATGCGTGTAAATAGAAGCGCGTGGCTGCAGAAAGATCATCATTTCAAGTCATCACCCTTTGTTAGGGTAATTACTCCACAACCCTTCTACTGTACTATGCTCCCTTTTTAACTTTTTGATTTTGAACTGAAGGTTCATTCAAAAGGTGAAAATGTGGGAACCTTAATGTGTGTAAACGAGAAGGGTGAAAACCAAGCAACGTGCACTTATATGCGTAATCGTGACCGTTCTGGTTTGATACATTGTTTGTCTATTTTGTATTAAAGAAAACTGGTTTCTCTAAAGAGAAAAGGACGGATTTGTTCCTACCGTGGCTATAGTAATTTCGTTTGACTGGAACACGTGATTTATAGGTTTGCAGCAAACTTATGCCCAGTCCCTAGAAATAATATCTTTTGTAAGTTATTTTTTAACAGTTGCATTGAAAAGGTCTTCCGAGCTTTGACTTTTTCCTGCACACTATACCTTAAGCTTCTCAATGTCTGTAATGCATACATTTCATCTCACCACGGTGTGTCTTGGTCACTGGCTCATTGGATTCAAATCCTTGTCACGGGGTTAAACTGGGACAAAGAGGTCAGAGAATTTGGATCTATGTAAAGATTTTCCATAGCTTAACTTGACTGTTCTTCTTAAGCGATTCTTTGTTTGTTTGTCGGGTCTCTACACCTTTGCTTATCTCTTTGAAGAGCTCAAAAGCTGCAGGTGGATAGGGTTCAATGACTTGTTGCTAAACGATACCTTTTCGAAGTTTTCGCGCTCAGCCGTAACTCTCGACGTCTTCGCTGTTTTGCTTGGCTGTCGATGGAACATTTTTCTTACAGCGATTACCCTTGCGCAAAATGGTGGCAAGTCGGGTGCACCGTAGCAGAACGGTGATCCCTTCTACCCCAGCTCCCCTCATTTGCTGCGATCTCACTCCGGCGTGACGCCATTATTCGCACTCCATCTAACCCTCTGCCGTGCCTCATTTTCTATTCTCTCTTGTTTTGTTACTTTTGCCGCCCATACCAACGATTTTACCCCTCTTGGGGGTAATAACGACCGTAGGGAGGCCTCTTAGATCCAATTTCAGGATCATGGTCTCTTTACTGGTTTTCCAAGACGCTGAAACGGAATGGCAATCTTAATTTCACAAGTTATCCAGTTAAGTTTGTCTGGTTTACACACTGTTTTCAACTAAAAGGCACCATGCAAAGGGATATTGCAATCTAACGGTGTATAATTCATCCACCTAATTAAAAACAAGCAGTCCTACTTTAAGATTGCATTTAATTGATCTTGATAGCTCAAGCTTATAGTCTTTTCCCAGAAGTATTTTCGCGCTGAATCAAATACTTCCCAGATTTGACCGGATCATTTTACTACTCATTGCTGCCATTTCGAAGCGACAACACTTGAAGTTTTTTCTCACATTATCGATTCTCGTCTCCATTTCAATCCTCCACCTTTGCTTCTATAAGTCTCTCCATGTTTTGCCTGCTCAGTCTGTCTCCAATTTGCTTGGAAAGCTCTCAGTTCACTACCCAAAACTACTCAAGATACACGCCGTCTTAGCGTGCATAGACGCTACATGTCTTTCACTCTGGCGTCTCTCTATGGAAGCAGCTCCTTTGTCATAGGCTTCTCCAGTTTTTGTCTGATTGCATAGCAAGTATCCGTGTTCACACCAATTAACTCTCCATCAAATGACAGCAAATCAAGGGCGCTCTGGCAGAACCTGAGCGGTTCTGACCCGCCAGTGTCCCCCCGTCCACAAGCTGTATCCTCCCCGTGCTTTGCCCCTCGAGAACACGGTGCCAATCCTTTTATTTTACGGTTGTCGGTCCTTTCGTTTCAGGTTGAGCGAGAAGCAATACAGGCGTATACCGGATGCCAAATGCGCGTGAGATGCTATCGTGGACTTGTTTTTCGCGCCAAAAGAAAAAAAAAGACAGAAAACCTGTCAGCTGTTTCCTGTATTCTACAATCTCAAACAAGGAAAGTATCCCCCAAATAAACCTGAACGAGGGTCCTTTCTGATAACTTTACCTTCGCAGATAACATAGCAGAAAACTTGGCAACCCATTTCCTCCATTTTGACTTTGTCAATTCAAACCAAACAACGCCTGGCCTGCTTTGTTTACAATTCTAACAATAAAAAGTCACCATAAATACACACACATGTAAAAATCTAGTAAAGACGGCCTCAACACAATATCACAACACGAAAATGAATCAAGAACTCTCTACGTAACGTTGCATGTTGCCAACTAAAAGAAGATTCTCAATTCACAGCGTTACTGACAGAGGCCGATGGAGAATTCGCGTAAAATGTCACAAACAATATAACAATAACTGAGGTGGTAATAGTTATGGTAATCATAAAACAACAAATATGTGTTCCAAATTTGAATTCCGATTACAATTGAATTGTTAACATGAGAGATGGTTGATGATGCGGAACCTCACAAAAATTGATGGTATACATGAAACAGCCGATAATTTTCATCGGGGAAGTGAGAAATGAATAAATGTGCAAATCCATAAAGCTGCGCCGTTGCTTTATACGCTCCCATTTATATTGTCTGCTAAGTTTTGGGATGATCCAGAACGCACTTTTGCTTGAAAACGTAAAGAAAAATAGACAAATCGAGAAATATTGGTCCAAAATCTGGATATGCTCAAGAAGGAGGAATTTGACTGGGATGTAGGTTCGTGAAACACTAGCTCTTTTTGCATTCTTACAGCATCATGAGATTGCATGTGAACCAGTCAAATGTGAATCTCAAGTAAATTCTTGTTAAATCAAAGCTCATGCATAGCATATAAGAAATACATGTATTTAAAAAAAGTAAACGTGATTTTCAAAAGCTTATAAATTTATTCTGAACTACTTGTAATTAATTAGCCTAACCAGTCCCGCCCACTTAGCTAAGCCCCGTCCCGCCCACATAACCCAGCCTATATAGGCCACCAACTTACCCAGCCTAGTCCCACCCATTTACCCAGCCCAGTCCCATCCAGCCCAGCCCAGAGCAGTCTAACCCAGGTGAAGCTCAATTAGTAAAGTAACCTAACCTTGGCCACCTGTTAATAGCCCAGCCCAATCCAATCTGTCCTATCCCATCACTTCCTCTGCTATAAAGTACTGGCCGGTAACATTGAAAGAAAATAACAAAACTAACAACTCACCAAACAATACGTCTTAGATGATATTCCCAAATCGTGATTTTTTTCAAATGAAAGGATTTTTCGTCGGTGAGAGATTTTGATGTGTACTCACGTAAAAATCCAAGGTCGGAAACGTAGTCTTCATAGCTGCAGGATCAGTATGGTTCTATCCATCAGCACTTGTGGTTCGTAGAAAAATCCTCAGTTCCATACAGTAAATTTTTAATATTTTGTAAACTTAATGCAGTACATTTCGGTAGCTGCAACATTATTATACATGTACAATTCTATTTGATCCTGGAAGGCCTGTGAACTTAGGCACTGCGATCCACCGATGGTGACTACGTGGCATGAATTCCATTTCGAGGACAAACGCACACAAGTATTGCGTGGTGTAGGCCTATGCCATGAATGGAACACTCGGACTGTTACACAACCAAGATCCAGTCGAGATGCAAGCGCATAATTAAGGAAAGAGAGATCTTTTACTTGTGCAGAGCTAGTCAAAACTGAACAATGGATCGAATTCATGACATAGCTCGAAGTATTAGTAAGAAACCACACTTTTTATACCCATGTATACACTAGACAATACGGTAGAAGGGACGAACGTGTGTGGTTTAAATCAGAGTTGAAGTCTTTGAATCAAAGACTCTCATTCCACTTTTTCGTCATTTCTCATCAAATAAATTGAATTTTACCCTAGATTTGTTTTCGATTTTAAATTAATTCTTTTAATTCTCTTAAATTAATTTATATATGCCAGGGCTGAACCTGTCATTGTGAAATAAAAAAATAATACAAATTTATTAAAATCTATGCATTTTAATTTGAAATTTAAAAACTTTCCAGCTGAAGCGCATGGAATACAAAGAGTTGGTCTGGCATTTTTATTAAGAGAATATTGAAATGGTAAAAGAGCAAGGGTTAACTTGACTTTTTATTGATGACATAACTTTTTTTGACCGAAAACATTTGGAGAAAATTAAACAAATTTTTACTGTGATAAAATCTGACAACTGGTGAAAATGCACAAATTTAAGTGTATGTTAATTCTGATTCTCGTAACAAAAAACATGCAGAAACTGAAAGACAAATGGAATGCACCACGGAGCAGTTATTCCGAGTGTCGATATTTATCTTTATTTTAAAATCAGTCGGTCAAGTATAATAATTCATATATTCGTCTACATCAAATGACTTGCATATTAACTTAAAAGGGGACTGCCATTTTTTGTTCATTACAGTACTCAAATGAGGGCGCTATTCAACATGAATGCCCATTTTATAGACTTTCTGAGCAATGTTATCAGTTATGTAAAACAATATCAAATCCCCTTCACCAGTACCAGTTTCGGCAAGTTTTAGAACAGAACACAACCACACAACGCCAATTCATTGACAATATCTCAGATTTCTCAGAGTAATCTGTTGCCAAAACACAGAATACATATTTTCATATGGGGACGATGTGTAAAGAAAACGATGCACCATGCTACACGAACAGACAGATATACGCATAAATATAGACAGGACACAAATACATTGGCTTCATAAACTTTATATAAACATACACAAGTCACTTTTAGCCTCTTTTGTAGCTTAGTCTTTGGAGATTTATATTTCTTTCATTAATATTCGTAAATAAAGTATCGTAAACGACGAAATAAATGGGATATATATGTATCCACATCAATTAAAATATTCTCCGACTCGCATGTTTTTAACGGGTTATACAATGAGATTATCGTATGAAACAATCAGGAATTTAACCCTTGTATCTCGTCTCAGTTAATATGGGGTTTCACAATAGCACGCCTCCAAGAGATTGCGACGCGTTGGCCAATCACAATGCGCGAAACCTCTCGACCCTTTCCAAACGCGCATTGGCTCGACAGATCTCGCGCATTGTGATTGGTCAACGCGTTGCAAACTCTTGGTGGCGCACTATTGTGAATTGCCTGAATTGTTAATACAGCTCGCATTACATGAACAACATCCCATTTTCTCCCCAGAAACCCTGTAAATTTCAATAATTGTTACGATGTGCAGATGGTGATTATAAATAGATGACGTCATCAGAAGAATTGAAAAGATGACGTCCTAACGGAAGAAACTTGATTACCAATAATGCTGAAAAAAGGCACAGCTGACGAACAAAAGGGAAAAATACACGTACACTGCAAACATCAAACGTCTATCATTCCAACAAAGATGAAGTCTTATGAACAAGATTCAGGGCTGCCATTAGTGCTCCCAATTTCAACTCTGGTAAAGGGTTGATGAGGCCTTTTGGAAAAAAAAAACAAGCATTGACGAAAACCAAACCAAAGTTAAGAAGTCTTTGCGAAACAATTTACTTTTCTCCTGTTGTCATTGTTTCGTTAGGGTAACTTCACGTCAGAAATACCGACAAAAATAGTTAAACATTTCATAAAGATAGTCCCGCTTGGACCCGTGTAGGTGACACGATTTTGGCAGGAAGTTCGCATCCTACCAAAACGCGATTATAAACATTTCAATAAAACACTTCAAGGTTAATATGCGTAGCTCACACGGAATGTCTTTTTGTTCACAACCCTTTAACATTAGTAATCCAACCGTCCAACTCCATAAAATTTCCCACAAGTTATTATTTCAGGGTGAAGAATTAAGGTGTCCACAGGGAAAAAACTGATTCTCAAACTGACAGCATCAACGGCCGCGTTCTCTCCGTTTGGGGCGGCTCGCTTCTAGTAAGGTCAGAGGTTACTTCCACCAAATCGATGGGGCATGCAATTTGTCACTTTCGAGCCCCTATCCCGTCTCCGAGTAGGCTTCAAGAGAAGTTTTAAAACCCCTAATACGGTTAACTTCGGTCTGGGGGACACTGAACTCCCTATGGAGCCAAATTTTAGATGACATGTATTTTCTATGTGGTTTGGTAAGGCCAGTGATTCACATACGGAGCAGGCGTTCAGTAAAGCCGACATTGAAAACAAAGCCAGGATATGAAAAAAAAGAAGAACCTGCCGCTAGAGGGCCATTAACGCAAATGGCATATAAGCCGTTCCTAACAAGAGTCGTCATACTCCAATGTTTCACAACACTCGCAAATAGTCCTTTCATAAAATGGAAAAGACGACAGGTAGGCTTACCATAAAACTCCTACTTTACTTTTGTTCGACAAGCGGCCCAGTTAAAACCCAAACCTCAGGGAAATGTCAGTAGCAAAATCATCACGGTTGAAAAGACAAATAAACCCAACTAGCTCGGTTGGCTATGTCCAGATATAAAAAAAGACAAATAGTAATAATACACCAGAGATTATTTACTGTAACAACGATACCATAAAATCACTAATCATCATTGAATAAAGCTATTCTAACTATAGAACCGGTTTGCACTACTGGCTGTTATCGGCTATACTACATTTTACCACTACCATTTTCAAGACGACATAAGACAAATATTTTACAAGAATCGGCTGACTTTTTAAATCATCTATCCCATTTCATATTTAACATCGACGACAAAACGTTCCTGAGATAGTAGAAAAGAAAGCAAAATTTCAACTAAAATGTCCAAAAATCACAGTCGGTGAGATTCGACATTAATTATCTCAGTACAGTGTGGACTTAATACGGTGGCCTATACATGACACAGAACTCGACAACTACTTCAGTCGAAATCCTACAAACAAGTTAGGAGATGCCTCGAGTTACATCAAATCTGGTGTGACGACCCGTAGATGAATTCTTGCCTAATATTTTTCTCCATTGGAAGCCACACCCAGCCTCTTTTTAAAACCTTTCAGCCTCATTTTGAAACACATGCAGATATCATTTCAATACATTACTGCTAACAACCGTCTTTCCAGATAACGTCGTGGTCGGTGGATATCCCTTATTTAAACCGACTCTACACTCTCGAGTCTGAGTTGGTGACTCCGTGGCCCATCACTCACCTTTATGTACATCAGAACGAAATATCACTGTATTTGTTGCACTTAGGAAATGACATCTACCCCGACCAACGACCTTTGACCGCAGTAACCTCTCTCTGAGCATGCCACTGGTCATCATGTTTGAAGCATCACCTTTCGTCTTGTAAGTTTCGGCACTGATCAGTTCCAGGAAGTTCCGCGTTCTAACCAAAAGAGGGTGGTTGCCGATACGAACAGAAACACAGAATATCTACAGTTTCTCCCGCTCCAAAGCTCCATCAAGTCTCACTATAGCAACAACAACCTTGAGCTCATGATTTGTTCTCACGGCCATACGTTCTCATTTCTTGTCAAGCTCTTCCCATTCCTCGGTGCCAATCAACCTCTATCCCGAGTTTTGGAATCAGCAGGGCCGTCTACAGGTGGTCACAATAAGTAGTCCATCAGTTTGGTGTTTACTGGATACGAGGCCAATATTGAGAGGAATGAGAGTCGTTAGAGTTTCCTCCTGGGACTTGTACGGGAACTGAGACTCCTGGTGAAATGAGACCTGCGGACAAAGATGGATAAGAAGGAAGGGTTAGGGAGGTTGGAACTGATTGGTATCTACTTGCGCCATTCACAATGACACAGTAAAGTTGAAATGAGAAACAAGGACGACGATAACGCAGGACGACATCTTGCCCGCTATTCGTCGAATGCATTTAAAGCATTAACAAGTGGTGGAATATATCATGCAACATCTAACAGTGATGTTCATCTTGTATATGTGCGGAACTCTTTATCAAAAACATCAACAGTGTTTAGTGGGATTCTTTCAAGACATTTTAAGGAATGTACAACCACCAAATCCATCATCAGCAGTTCGTAAGTTACAAAAAATAACAGTAGAGATTAGACGATAGATTTGAACAAGCTAATTTCAACAGAAGCATGCACGACCTTTGACATGGTTTGACCTTTAAACTTACTTGAGAATGCACCATTGTTGCAAGCGCTGTTCATGTGGTGGCTCTGCATATGTCCATGGCTGGAGTGGGGCACGTGATGTGACTGCATGGCGTGGTGTTGGTTGGGACTGCCGTAGAGTGATTCGTGGTGGTAACCATGGGACACCGATCCCATCATACTCCGGTAACTTCCGGAATCCCTCGGTGGCTGCGTCCAACAAAATGTGGAAGTGTATAAGGTTTAGAGCACCAACTATAAACTGACATACATGAGCTTTTTACACCCATCGGGTCAGAGTGACTTCATTAATCGTTTTAGATTGTAGAAGAGCCATTCTCACTGCAAACTGGTCACTGTTCTTTTCATTAATTCCTAACATTTAAGGTTGAATCACTTCCCCTAGAAAAAATTTTCATTTTTTGTGAAAATAAGCTATTACACCTAAAAAGTACTGAAAACGGAAGATTTTGGCAATCCGGTAAAGGTGTAACACGTAGTGCCTAATAGAAAGGAATTTGAAAATCTATGCATTGACGTTTAAAGGTGTAATTTATTTATTTTTCCATGACTGGTGTGTTTATTTTAACCTGTACGTTCAAGTTGGGAGCTGTAGCCATACTGAAGCTGGGCACAGGTGGGAGGGCGCTGTAACTCTCAGCAGTACGGGGCACCATGGGAGCCGAAGGCTGAGCTATGGGCTGGTACACGCTGCTGATATTAGAGAAGCCGCCCAGGTTACTAATGGGAAGATGGCTGGAAGACTGCGGCGACGCCTCTGTCTGCTGGCGTCGCTGATTCCGCAGTTTTTCCTCCCGACGCCATTTGGCCCGACGGTTAGAAAACCATACCTAGAACAGAAAAAATATCAAAGGGGATACAGATAAGAGAAAAAATAGCACCAACAATAAAAATCGACAGCAGCACCAGAAAAATAGGACAGTAACTTTACAAACAAGCCGCTGTCACGAAAAGAACAACATTAAACAACATCGAGCAGGAACTAAGATTGTGAGCATAATCTAGACACAAGAACGAAATTGTGAACTACAAATATGAAAGGAAATAGCATTTCCAAGTATAAAATATCTCTACGATTATGACATAAACCTAGTCTCAATAAAAAGTCAAATTGTCCCCAGCAGTAATTTAGAAATCAACATAATAAAGAGTAAATTATTGCACAACTTTTCGCATTGGTTCTAACACGTTTTTTGCTTTTTAATGCTAAATTTAATGAACACGGTTACTTCTTTTCTTTCTTTCGTTGAAATTTATCAAGCCAGCGGTATTTCCAGTCAAAAGTTCAGCTGATTAAATCAACATTACTGAACTCACAAACAAAAATGTAATTGGCAATGTCCGCTTTTATTTGGTGCCGTATATGTTTATATTAAACATGGCTTCAAATGGAAGACTTAAAACAACTAAGGCGATAACACATCTTGCACGAGCCTAAAAAGTGCCTTGTAGCTCACTGATTTTTATCAAAAGGTTTGACAAACTGGCCGTTCACACTTAAACGGTTTATGTATTGTGCATGTATAACTAATTGAAGATAAGGTCTACTTGCTTGCAAGGTAGCCGCGTTATATGTAGCCTCGTTCAAAGATTATTATCAACAATATCAGACGGTCGGTGAACTCAACTACTGTGCTGATCTTGACATAAAAAAGTAACCACATTTTAAGGGTTGTTTTTGTGAGATTTACCCGAACACAGATCACAAGATCAGATTGGCCAGACTGTAAAAAGCTCTTGAAACAGCAGAAAACGAAACATGAACAGAACTGTTTTCAGGATCTATACTATTCTCACTGTGGTCTCTGGAGGGCTGAATGGATGAGGAACAACATGTCATGTTTTAGAATCCCCTCGAAAACTGAACATAACTGGAAATAGATCGCTTACCTGTATCCTGGCCTCTGGTAGGTCAATCTTTTGTGCCAGACGCTCTCGAGCAAAGACATCCGGGTAATGTGTTCTTTCAAATTCTGAAAGACAAAAAAAAAGCAATGCCTTATCCAGTGTAAGAGTAAAAACATGATGGAAGAAACAAAACATCAAAATTGGCTTTCAATAAAAAAACTAACTTACAGGTGGACGCTTAATCTTTTGTCGTCAGACTTAAGTGCTGAAAAACACTGTCCTCGATGAACAAAATTAATTTATTTTCGAAACTTCAATATACTTATTTTCAGACCTCGGTCTTATTGTTATCCAGCCATGCAAACAAACTGTACCAGACGGAGTAAGTGATCATTACTTTCGTATTAGAACCAAGCTATAGGTGGACAAAGACTCATATTCAGCAAACATATCAGCTATGCTACTTTCAAATTGGAAGTTAATGTCAGTCCCAGCAAACCAATTAGGTTGTGCTTGGTGTAGATAAAGAATTGACCATGGCGTAAGGTCCATTGCAACCGTCGATTAACAAGTTCAGAAAGTTTCTTGACGAAGGATGAATGCATCAAATCTCACTGAATGTCACAAATGTAAAAGCTGACGCCGGAGTGACTTTCAATTAGACGACACTCCTCTTCGCTCTCAAGTAATGATTTTGTAAAATGATTTAGGAAAGACAAACGAACTTCAGGTTTTCATGAGTTACAGTGACAGACATTCAACCTCCGTTTCTCCTATTGACAGGCTTAAAACAAGGTCTATCAAGTAAAACCACTGGGCATGAGGTAGCTTCAAGACACACGAGCATTGGCTTATTAAAACATTCTTAGGACAATCAACAAAAAAGGGAGAAACAAAAATCAAGGAAAAAACCAAACCAAACCAAACCAAACCAAACCACAGACAAAAACTTGCATGCATTTGTCAGAACCAGCCACAGAAAAATAATTTCAACTACCACAAAATGTTTTGTAGGTTTGACTACAAAAAATGTCAAATGATGAAAAAACCCACCAAAATTGTGTCAGCAATTAACCACTCCAATGCTGAGTATAAATGACTGTTCCTCTATCAGCAAACATCGGCAGTGAATCCAAAGTGACACTGTCGTGTCATTGTCGTGTCATTTTACAAGCAACGTTTTGCTGATTGATTTTTGATGGATGTAAGTACCACATAGAATTCTAGCAATCCTCAGTTACCCTTGATGGCCTTCAACTCGGCTAACTTCATGATCGGTTAATGCATTTATTTCACGTGTAGTGTTTCCTTGATGTAATTAAGCAAACAAAAGTATCCATTAAAACAACGCTGAACATGCATCATTTGAAAAAACCGTTGATTCTCCAAATTACAGCGCAGGAAGGAAGAGCGCGCTACCGGCTGGTGCGCTCTCAACACGGTGCAGTGTTGCTCGCTTGTCCCGCAGTTTTGTGTAATTGATGGCGGATTATTCGCTGAGGATGACTCGGTAGTAGTACCGCTGAAGTTACAATGGAAAGCATTAATATGCTGTGACTCTAAAACAAGCATCATCCACGGACCAAGCCGGCGCAATTAGAGTAAATAATGACGGTAATACATCATCAGGCGGAAGTACGTATTCATGAAAAAGCTTATGTCTCGGGAAAAATGAGTACAACGGGGAAACCTACTGGACCGAAACAGCTAGAATGAACAGTGGCTGAATGGAGAATCTGTGGGCATGTTTCGCACATCTGAAAGCAGATTAATGAATTCAGTCTCATCTAACATTATCGCGAACAGTCATCAAAAAAGTCAAGGATAACAAGCAACTATATGGTTTAGGAGTGCCGAATCTTTTGAGTAAGGTTCTCTTGGGCACTGCATCACTCATAATTATGGTACGACTTCCATATGTTACTTTCACACAACCCCTGTCGCGTCCCCAAATGAAATTCAATCAAAGCTTGGAATCTCCCCATGTAAAATCCTCTAATTTGTTACAAAATTACAGATTAATTTATGCCACAGTCTCTGTCCGTTCGATGCCACTTACATAGGTCTAGAGAAATGGAGAGCTAAAGTACGACAAAAATGGTCAAGTCTGAATGGAACTTACCGATGCTACCAATCAATATTCTGCTACGTAGCATTGCACATTATTTCAGGCATGCTATCTAATGTCAAGTTTCGATTGGGAGAGTGTTGGAAGATAACGGAACACATTTGGATTTCCCTTGATATGTACACGTTTCTAGGGATTTGATGAGCAATGCCATTTAATACTTGGAGTTTTATATGACATAGATATTGCGACACGCGAGTAGGGCTTAAGTACCAACCCCCCTAGCGATCTCATTTGATGGAGAAACCCCCGCCAATTTACACCAATCCCGGTTTTCTTATTCTGCGAGGGATCAAGGGCTCACCAACCGTCCCTACCACCTTGATACCTGACCATCTGCCTTCATCTCCGGCCCCAGCCACCGATTTCCAAAGCTCATATTTCGGGATCTTGTTTTCTTTCTTCTCTGCCTTAATCTGGCAGAAAAAAAATGATCGTTTTCTTCGCGCCGGATTGAAGTGGGGGATTTGATCCGGTTTTGCCTTTAAGTAGAACCTTAATCGCTGACGATGTCGGGTCAATGTTAACATCCTCCCACATGTACAACCAATAATTTCACTGGCTACTTTAAAAATCAATCTATAAGGAAATGGCAACAACACAGTACCCGCAACTTATTATCACGAAATGTACATACTTAAATGCCAACCTTTGTAGTACATGTTTGAAAGAAAGAAGTATACGTTTTGAAAGACACCAAAGGAAGGAAACATACTTTCACTGTCGAAACCTTTCACTTTTTTAAAATTGTTTTCTATTTCACAAGAAGATCAACCCCGCGATGAGAAGATCAGTTGAAATGCCTTACGGGTTGTAGAGTCCAAATGCTAAAATAGATACGACTGCTACCTTATGAGACCGTCACAGGTAACTCCGACTCATTCCTAGGTGAAGTTTGTATGAACAGTCGTAATTGCTCTCATCCAATATATCAGCCGGCAAGCCAAGCGTGCGGCTGTAGCTCGTTTTCCTGTAGGGAAAAACTAATTGAACGCTGATCAAAGGGGGGAGAATATAGAGTGTGGAAGACAGAAAGCCGCCGCGAAGGAGCAACAGCCATTGGCCATTCGCATCTTCATTTCCAGTCTATTCGCTTGGCTTGGCAGAATGCCAAGGTCACGGTGTATTATTGGTGACGGCGCGGGGCGGTTAATGTCGATTTCTTTTTTTTTTCTTCTTCGGTTTTCTTTCCACTTTCATCTCACTTTGGTTTCAGCGGGGCCGAGGGATTTGTTTTTGCAGGGAGAGAAACGATTTAGCGCGGGATCAGGGAAACCGCTGATGGGGGATGTGTTTAGGAACAGAAGACCCGACTGGAATCGACGGAATCAAGGGGATGCCTGTGACTTTAGGATGTTATGCCAGGGAGATATTGAAGAGATCTCATTGGTGCAAATTATTATCACTTCTCGCTAAATTCTGGAAACAGTAAATGACTGAGAAAATACTTAGCTCTAAGTTGAACAAACACTGTTCGGCAAAGTCCAGCTTTGATGATGATACAACATAACAAAGATCACAATCCCAGCTAAAGTCACATCCCACGCTCGAAGGGGGATAAACAGTCAGTTATCTTGTTTGTTCGTAGCCCATAGGAGCGACTCTTGCGACAGGTACCAGACGATGGACAACAACCACTCCCAACTACATCTCTTAACGGATTCATTCTATTCTACAAAACCCAAAATTTCAGGAAAAAATTGGCTGTAAACATCATTCCAGATGTAAGGTTTTCTGGCAATTCACGGGCTGAAAAGCTTAAAATTATTTCAACTAATATTTCCACGATTCTGCACATAGTAATTATTCCATAACTAGGATGTGTTGTGTTATCGGATCAAATCTCTCCCATCAAAACGAGGTTCTGCAAAGACGCACGTAACAGTCGTCGACACAACACAGTATGGCGTCATGTTTTCTCTTGTTGGTGCAATATCTTTTTATTCGAGTGGCATTGACGAATTAAGCCACCACTTTGCGCTTTAAAAAGAGGTACAGGTAATTGCAGGGTAACAATATAATGGCAAAATGACCCTCAACAATCGAGGAAATATCTTTTAGATTGCCAGCTTCGGTGGGATCTAATCCATAATGAAAACCCGGAACAAAAACTAAGTGTTTTGGAAAAAAAAACCGCGACACGTATCCGAGTGTGGAGGCCGAACATCGACCAGCAGTGAACTCGGAAGCAAAGGGGGTGCCATCAAAGAGAGAAATGTTCTCTAAGCTGAAACAATTTTGTGGTTCTGAATGACGTTTTGCTCTGCACTGAACGTAGCAGATTCAATCTTCAGGTACGGCGATTATCTCTTTCAAATATGAAGTTGACATGTCTCTCCCTTTTAATAACACACCAATCAGAGACATAACTGATGTCACGGCTAGTAATATTTTAAACACAAGAGGTATGGTAACTAGCGCTTTTAGAAAAGACCTCATACCACGCGTAGAAGATGTGCACCTATGAGGCTGCGTTCGTGATATAATTCAGACATCTTTCCCTATATGCGCACAGCATAAATTATGCTGAAAAGTAATTAACGTCCGTACATTAAAAAAATATGCAGACCATGGTCTTAAACAATCGCATAATTCACACCCAATTGTCGTACCAGGTGACGTTTCTGGTATATAGCTAACAAACACCCCATACTGGCAAAATGCGACGAACCGTTAAGGAAACGATCAGCCTTCAACAAAAAATTGCTATCAGAAATTGATGTATGGAGATTTTCATGTAATACATTTTTGGACAAAGAGGTTTCTATGGCAACATTGTGCAAATAAAAAAGTAGCCTTTTATTTCCGTCAGATTCTCACATGCAGCATTAACGAGCAAACTGGTTTATAGAGACTTTCCCCCCAAATTGCCAAGAATCGCAATAAATTAACCCGTTATTACTTCTTGGTGTTGTAGAATAGCATCATTAACGCCAACTCCATATTAAAATAGGTCCGGTATTATCCTAAAAGGTTAAGTAATTCACGTCTATGGAAATATCTGTCATTCAATATCCATCACGATGACGCAAACAGCAGTACGGCAAATACTATCTCGACTAAATATGAGAGTCTGAAAAAGAGGGAAGGAGAATCGCCATACTTAAATGACCATGGCTGTGTCCTACAAGCGAAGATTGTTGTCTTCAATGGGTGAGATGTTTGCTGGAAACGCTTCCATTTTTGCATCATTATTAGGAGAGCACCGGACCTTTATATTGATTTTTCTTTCTTTTTACAAATCGCCCAAATGCACATTGTAAGAAAATGTTATCATCTTCCACAGTAAAACAAATGATATTGTGAACTGTCGATTTATTAAGTATTAATTGCGTTGCCTATTTAGTAGCGTTTTCACTTCAAGGTTTCCTTTCGCTTATTAATAACAAAAGGGTGTACATCTTTATATTCGAGTCCAGCATGACGTTTAAACATCCAAACCCCACATCAGCCACCTTCGTAAATTGAATCCACGCGCTTTCTCGGCCTTTCTCCTTGTGAGCGTGCGTTGAAGCGAGCTAATGAAATTCTAGACGCATATTGTCTCTTATTGAGTTACCAGGTTGAGTTCAAAATGGCGCGTGCTACAATTTCTGGCCGAGATATTTAATGACAAGCCTCAAACGAACTGTACGTATTGCTTTCACCTATATAAATGATACATATTCTACGGGAATTTCATGTATAATACAACGCTCAACCATCAAAAAGACATCACCGTTGCCTTCATTACTTTCAAGTTTAACTGCCGTTTTCGCATTTTTCTTATTTGGTTACTATTATTATGGCAGCTCATTGATTTCAGAGCATGACATTTTCCAATTTTCAATTAGTTTACGATGGCAGGTGGAAAGAACGTAGTCATCTGAGTGAGATTCAAAGAAAATTGAGTAAAATTATCATTTGTGTCAATTCCTAGCCGTTGGCAAGATCGATGTGATCTGAACGTCAGCAATGTTCAGTAGGTCATGTTACGGCCATAACATGACTGATTGATGACTGACTAAAACAGCACATCGGTCAATTACATATTGCATATATTCCATCAACATGCACGGCACATTCCCAGCTAATACCAATTCCAGAGACAGTAGTTTTTTGGCTCTGAAAATGTCAAGTTCTTTTCGAATTCCTCATCCAATAAAGAAAACAGAATGTTACAGTTTAAATATGTAGTTTTCACAATGTGCAACCTCGAGTGAAGGCTTTTATTTTACTGCCTGTTGCTTCATTCAATGACGTGTTCATTGTCTTAAGCTTCATCTGAATCTTCCTTTTGATATAAATATCAAGGAAGAGATGCCCTCTCTCTGTTTTCTTGACTGAGGTTGGCATTATCCAAATATCTAATCATTGAGACAAAGTCAAAAGCGCTTGCTTTCGATAATTATAACTGAAGCCGATCTAAACTAAATATCAACTCGTTGAAGACCATATTTCTTGTAGAAAATCCAAAACAAAGCATTCTATAGAACACCGTGAAGCTTTGTTTAACATCCAAAAGGGCTGCTAATAGACCGGATAATGCGCCTATTTGCCCCACTCCATCGGTGCCTATAATTCTCGATGCTATGTCAAAACGCGAAATGCCATGTCGACATCAACACCTATTCATTGAAATGTCGAAATATTATTTCGAGATGTGTACAGCATTCTTTTTTAGGGTTTCGTACTGTTTCTTAGGAGGGGAGTACTGAGGGAAATAATGGAGTATAACTTACCCTTTTCGAGTTCTTCAATTTGCTGGGCTGTGAAGGAAGTTCGGTTTCTTTGGAGTTTTCGTTTCAGTCTTAGCCTCGCCTGTGCTTCCTCGCTGTCATCATCTTTCAAGTCTACATCACCTGAATAAACACACAAAAACTCCATGTCGGTTTGCTGCAGCATACTGATAAGTGTCTGTTCTTCACTTTCAGGAGTGACCAGCGACTAAGTTCTAAGGTGCCGGCACAGCGCTCCGAAGCAAATGATCAGTTCAATAAAAAAAAAGTGGCGGGAACTTGGCTTCGTTTTCTCACATGATAATTGAAGACAGAGAGAATGTACGGCTACCGTAGCCCGGTAAAGCAGCAAATATGGATGCCGGCTGGAACAGTTTTTTTCTGGTTCCTTTTTCGAATTTATGACAAAAATGCATGCAGCTGGCTCGCTATGTGTACCCGAAGCTAACAGAGTGAAATGAAATAAAGCTGGTGTCACAATAAAATCGGCCGGAGAATAAAATACGCGGCCTTATCTACAGGAGCGATCTTGCGACAGTTGGGTGGAGTTCGTGAAAGAGAGGTTCCCCCGAGCGTTTGGGATTGTGGCAAAGCGCGTTGAACTGAGCTGGAGTTGAGAAGCCATGGGTTGGGAAAGACAAGGAAACACAGACTGTAAACATGCTCAATGTAAAAAGGGAACGGGGTATGTGTACGTGTGGGCATATTCGCAGCCAGGTAAAAAGTTTAGCTGGCGTGTTGGTGCACTGATGCCGCGGCTTGCATGCGCAGTCTATGAAGTGTGACGCTGCCGGCACTTTAGCGGGGTCACAGCCCCTGCAGAATACCTGCTAAGCGGCTGGTGAAATTGGTTTCTATTCAAGAGATGACTTCCACAAAAAGCGACCCATGGTTTGGTGACGGCATCTCTTGTTTGTGGTTTGAAGTAAACACATCGATTCTTCTAACGGTCTTTTTTTTTTTTTTTTAGCAATGCACGTTCTTTTATTGGCTAACAACAATGTTTTGTGGGCACGGGGGATGTAAAATATTGAAAAATTCTAAAGCCAGCCGCATTGACAGAACGCGTAGGCAAATTATATTCCAATGTCATTTTTTCGTCCTGCAGAAAAGGGATTGTAACTAATTTTGGTATTGTTGCGGGTCTGTTTGAGGAACATGACGGAGACAAACATGAGCGTGGGGTAGCGGGCGCTTAGTCTGATTGCCCGTCCAAAGCGCATTTTCGTCGGGCGTGAGACAGAACAAAACACACTGCGTCGACTCTGGAGGAGGCCTTTTGTGCCGTTGTTGATTGGATGGGACCTCTCGTGCCCCCTCCAAAAAATAAGGAATTCGCACAAATCCCATTCGAAGACTGAGAAAGAAACCTGATGGCAAATGCTAAGGTGAGTGATGGGCCTTTAATCTGAATTCAGATGCCAATAAAAGTCATATCGATTGCACAGAAAACAATTTCGATTCTGCATTTGCAGTGAAAAAAAAGTATTTTGAATATTCACTCAGCTTTACATAATCAGTGTAGAGCTTGTGGTATTATCCTAGACAACACTGCAGCGGGTGGACGGCTAGCTTTCCTAGTTAATTTTTTTTTAATCTTTATGGTAAGTTTTTTTTCAACTCCAGGCTCAGGAGATGTGATTAAAACAATTACAGCATTATAAAAAAAAACGCTGGGCAATTTTTGCCCAAAGTTGAGTAGCAGGTGAATCGCCTTAATGTTAGCTGACAGATTACCAGAATGCGTCAATTCTCTCCCAAAATATGGACAAACTTGTCTCATTTGACCCAACGGTTGCAGAAAATATTGTTTGAACTGCCACATTTTCCCCCAGCGTTTTTGGTCTTTTTACCCATCAGTCAAGTGATTCATCTAGTACCCGACGCTCAGCAAAATACTTCCCAGCGTTGGAAATCCATGGCATTGGCTATCGATCAAAGTTACTAGTTACTATGACTACACCTTGTGGTCGGGTAATCGAACTTGCACCTTTACCCATGGTTTGGTCAGGTCATAAGCATGAGGGTTGAATGACACCCAGGAGGTCGAAACAACGCCCCCAATCGGACAGCTATAGTACAATCACCCGTTTGATTGCTAGCGCAGACGGGACGGGAGGCATTGTCCCTTTTAAACGTCACGGTCCACGGCCCGTTGTACGGGACAGATTCCCTCGGAACAAAAAAATGAACGAATCAACAAGCATTGTAGGGGCCCAACAAAGCCCGGATATTTTTCATTTGGCAGACAAAGTCGGTTTAATAGAAACCCAAAGTGTAAAATTGGCTCCAAAAGCCGATAGAACAGATCGGGTGAGGGCGAACAAAGACAGGCTAGCAACCTTCTGCAGATTTGGTATTTTTCCCAGCCAAATCGAGCTACTGCACGCCAGTTGTTGTTGGTGATCGATTGCCAAACATAGCTACTATTTTTTTTTTACCGTTGGTGAGTAGTAACAGCCTAGTTAAACCTTCTGACTGATGCATGCTCTGGGTAGAACCTTGAGAATTGGTATTCACTGTGGTCTTGTGACGACCAAGTGGTAGGGTGTTGTCTAGCCGAGTGGAGACCCACGAACTCCCGGTCAGTTACCGGTAACTGTACTTATGCAACGTCAGAATTCACGCCACGTGTCACACCAATTTCAGGACATAATCGTTCTGTTGCCAGGAATCTTTGCCACAATGACAGTGAAACATTTTTGCTTGTCACATCTAGCATGGCTACTTCGAGTAGACGTTGAGTTCACTACTGAGTAGGAAGTTTGGTATACTTTGGAATAATAAACACAATTGTACGCGTGCGTAACAACGACCAACAAAATGAACAATTGGAAGAAAAAAATAAAGGGGTTGTTTCCCTAATAAAAGGTAATCCTACAACATCCTGGCTTCGCTTCGCTTCTTTGTTGTAACACTAAATTTACAAAGAAACTTCCAACCTTTGGCAATACCAAGTAGCGACTGGCAACTAACAACTAATTTCACATGAAATTCCGAAACTTCAATGTTTGTATGAATGTTTTTGTCGGTTTTTAAGGTAGCACTGATGCGTCACTCGGCTAGGGTCACTCTTTACCGGGTCAATCGTGGCTGAATTTCGATCTAATCCCACCTTATCACCATGTCCAGCCTTTTGTGCTATCGGGGTATTGGGATTTGCAGCGGCTTAAACTTTGACAAGCCCTGATAAAACTAGTGCTTTTGCTCTGCCGATTTACGGCGCAATGTTTTGTTTATCTGAAAGACAGCGCACAAAAACATTACGTGGGTATGACTCGTCGATTCGCACCAAGCGGCCGGGTTTGGGGGCGCTATTGCCTTGGGGGCATGCGCAGACGTCAAAGTGCATTTAGAGATAGCTGGTCGATTCAATGGCATGGGCATGACGTATTAGTTCCATGTAACAAGGGAAAAAGTAGCAAGACCTAAACTAATTAGTATTTAAAATCCAGCCTTTCTTCGACAAAAAGGTAGGCTGCTATTTTGCTGTGAATTGCGCCCCAAGCGCTTATTCTTGATAGCTTTAATAAGTCATAGTCACATTGAAAAAATCAGCAGATATGTGTCAGAAATAATAATGCAGAGAAAGGGGCTGCAGTTGTCATCGCTTGTTGTTTTCAATACGGTGTCCGCTCAGAGACATACACACGGATGCAAAACGACTTGAAAATGAAATGGATTCAAATTACGTTCACGCTGCTTTGTTTTGGTATAGTATATATGTGTTAGAATTAACCTAAGAGGCTTTGGTTTTGGGTAGCACTATATCAGTCTCTTGAAGGTCACATATATCATTAGAATTAATATCTTATAAAACAAGGCCATGAGAAGATTATAAGTACGCTGATGCGATCTTCCTGTAGCTTCCGCCGCATCCTGTACAGCTTCCCTTTTGATTGCCAAGAAGAGAAGAAAGAAGAGACACACTGAGAGTTGTTTTCAAGAAAGTGGTGCGGCATCTTGTGATGGTGAGTTGAGCCCTCCCACCCTGGTAAAAAGGAAGCGAGCGGCAACTTGACCTTGAGCCTGGAGCAAAGCAGCTATTGATCGGACAGACTGTTCCGCCTTTACAGCGACCCTCCCCTATGGGGCAGCCGGTTACATCAGATATACCCCTCAGACTCTCTCTTATATCCGGAGGGTTTTTTATACCTCCGCTGTCTATCTCCTCAGTTTGCGGGCCTTGCACGCAATAATGACCATGATTGTCGATGGGCGAGGGACCAGGATCGGCCGATCCTTTATGCTCGCCCGCTACCCTGCTGCCTCGGGCTACAAGGCACCCCAGGCTATAGAACACGAAGTAATAAAACGACCTTCTAATCAGTTCCGTAGATGATGATTAAAGATCGCAGGTAATGCCATCCTGGTACGTTTCTCTCGGTCTTTATACTTTTCCACAGGCCCCATACCCAGATTCTTTTATCCTGATTTCTGTGGCCAGCGCATGGGAAGGGAAAGCCGTGGGCTTCAGAACGCGCATCGCCGGGCAGACCTATTTGCAGCGACACGCTGCCGACTTCGTTGCCCTGGTTCAGAGATTTTCCGCTGAAATGTTTCACCTCACACGCGAACCGTGTCAAAAAATAGTTCACAGGTTGACAAATTATAAATAGCTTCAGTGACAGCGGCCGGACATCAAATAAATCCTTCACAAGAGAGGATTTTATTCTTAGTCATTTCTGGCTGAAATGATACACTACGCTGCTGCAGGGACTGATGTACGCTTGGTGCAGGAGAGCTTTCGTTGCCAAATACAAGGCTACAAAGAACAACTCTGGTGTGCTTTCTAGCAAATTAGAAGTTCAGGACTTACACAACATGAGCGCAACGCGTACGCTTCAAACTTTTCACCGCGTTGTGTTAGAGGCCAAATGCTCTACAGTTCTATAACTAAGATCTTTTATGATCGAATGAACTTGACTAGTCTGAATATACCGGTATAAACCTGCAGCATTGTGTATTTTTATACTATTTTTCTGTGTCTGTTTATTTCTTAAAACGGTGGGATGGATTCCACAATTGTGCCAAAAATGTGTGCTTTTCTATTTTACTCTTCCAAAATGAGAATACACAGCCGATCTCCAGCTGCAAGTTTTTCCCTGTAAGACAACAGGGGA